CCACAGCGAAGTAAAATAGGTAGGATCTTCATCTATGGCTTTTTGTAGTTTAGTAGTCAACAAAGTTTTAATCTAATAGTTCAAAAAAAAAATTGGTTGAAGTTCCAATTCGTATCAGTCAAATAATTTGTCCTAGTTTTCGGACGCTCGCAAGCACGGTTAAAAAAAGTGACTTCAATTACAACTAAAAAATGACCAAGATTTGAAATTCAAGATAAATTTGGTGATTTCGTACATAGAATAGATTTCAATCAATGAAAGTGATCAAGGAGACTCATTTTAGTGTGCACCGTCACTGTCCGAACAATTGCACACTTTCCTTTGTACATGTGGATGCCTCAAAAGGCAAGATTGTGTCACACCTTTTTACCGGGACAAGCGCTGAATTCCTTTTCATGAGATGTTGATTGAATGTCTGAATTTTTTTCTGGAAAACAGAATTTAACTTCTAGTTTAAAAAAACTAGATGCTTAATAATCGTCACAACTGTTTATTTTAGGTCGCGTGATTGGACGAAACTTAAGTCAGTTAGTATCTAGCTGGTACCACAATGATTTAATCAAGGTTTTTAATTGTGCCATGGCAAATCAATTCAAGACATTTAGATATAACTACAACAGTTCTCTTGGGTGTTCGCCGCCATGGATGTTCAAAAATTAATGGCAATTAGTTTTTTGAGTTTTTCCTAGGCAATCAATTAATTGTAATGGTGACTTTCTATCAATCAATTATTGCAATTAATTACAATTAATGGGCTTTCTCAAATAAAACATATTTGCAAGAAAATCATTTATTTTTTTCATTTTGAGGATGATTTATTACAAGCTTCCGTGTCTTTTTGCCCTATAATCGGCTGCTGTACTAGAGGAATAACTGACATTCCAAGCTTGCCGGAAAAATTCATCAGGCCTACAATAGTGTTATAAATACGTGTTATTATTGCCAATTGCTTGCTTTACCATCAATTAATGGGTTTACAAAAATACCGCAGTCAATTAATTGCAATTATTTTTTCCTCTCATTTTTTGAACACCCCTGTTTGCCGCTGACTATAACTAGAACGAGTGAGTAGCTAAGGCCGTAGTTTTCGAACCGAGGAAAGAGCCACAATGTGTGGCTTTCTGGGAACTTCCCGGAATCAGTCGATAAACTAAAAACAATACATGCATCTGGCCTCAGGATATCCACAGTAAAGTAGGTTTCCGGCAATTTATCATGCTTGATTTCAAAACAGGAGCGGAACTTTCATCGAGCTCATCCTCATTTGAGTATTTCAATATAAACTAAAAACGGCTTGAACAGGGCTCATTAAAGTTATGTCCTATGGTCTCGGATACGCACTGTTCAAAATTCGTCAGCTGCCAATACTAGCGACGGTTGAGCTGTTTAAATGGCTGCTTCTGTTTAACACTGGAGAAGTTTCAATGAGTCGTTGACACTTAGTATAAAATTTTTATCTTGATGTTGGTTCAATTGCTTGAGTTGGCGCTGGGGTTTAGAAAATTAGACGACAAGCGAATTAGACGCTCAGAAAATAACAGAACTTAGACAATAGCTTGCGAGCAAATTGCGTGAAATTTGTTTACAGACTCAAATTAAGTATTAGCTGAGTAAATACTGGTTGTCCGTAAATTCCGTTTCTTTACGATCGTCTTATTTCTTGTCGTCTAATTTCTTAGGCCCGTTGGCGTTGTATCTTGTTCATGCCAATTTTTCTCTTGGTTCAATCATCGTTTTTTTGCCAGATTTTTTAAACTTCAAACAAGATCAAAGTTGATCCAGTTTAGAGGTTTAAAACTGCATCATAAAAACTGCATCGATTTTCAACAATTGTTTTAGGGAGAAAATCTGTTCCGACTACTTCATGTTTTCAGACTGATTGGACAAAATTCCATGGGAGGGCGATTTCTAGGTCAATTCAAGCGTAAACTTTTTTTCATCTACTATCAATTCTCAGTACTGCATTCTTAACCTAATTCAGCCCTCCTTAACATAACACACACTCGAAATTGAGTTCAGCAAAAAACCACAATCGATTAAGTTTGATTAGTGTTTCCAATAGCATCGATGTTTCTTACGTTTATCTTAATCACGTGCCTTAAAGTCGAGAAATGGCCTGAAATAAGCAAATGCGCTCACGTAAAGCGAGTATAAAAAAGGACTTGGAGGTATTGATCGAAAATTTTGTCCAATTTTGTTGCTCCCCAAAGTATTCCTTATTTTTGAACTTCAGACAGACACTCCTTATTGATCATATTTAATTTGCGATCAAGCATAAAACCAACACACTTCAACATGGCATCCGTTAAATTTATGCAAGGGCCAGGCAATTACTAGATTTTTCATATGTGATCTACAAACATACAGCTAGTCAATATGAGGTTGTAGTGCTTTAATTAGATTTCGGTAAGACATGGTTGACCGATTGTTTCTCCCTTTTTAGGCTTATTAAAATTGAATTAAATGAAGATTCAACCCCTTTTTTGTCTTTTTAATTTCAAAATCGTTCTCAGAGGATGAATGTCGATGGAATGCTATCCGACATTTTGCTTATTACAAGTGAAGTTCCTCAAGGAGTTGTAATGAAACAGCTTTTTGATGCTTGACTCACCGGATTCTTGCTACTATGATGTCGATGGCACAAAAGTATTAGCAGTGGGATCTGATTTGAATCAAGACTGAAACTTGCAAAAACAATTCACATGAAAATTTGGCGCGTTTGATGATCAAGTTTTAACTTAGCTTAATGGGTCCCTTCTGGAGTGAAATTTAATATTTTTCGAAATTTATTTAAATTTTTAAAGACCCTTTAGTTAAACGCTGACTTAGGTAATAGAAACAGAGTACAAGTCTGGTGAAAAAATATGGTCCCCACAACCTCTCAGTTTTTGAAATATCGTAGGTTTTAGGATTTTTTCGTTTTTCTAGGCTTTTTTAAAGAAAACAAAATCCATCACTTTTTGTCTTTCAATATTCAGTAAAATCATACTCATCTATGCTTTACAGCTGGGAGTCTTTTCAAGAGCATGAGCTTCAAAACTCTCAGTTTTCGAGATTAATCTAACCAAAAGTGAAGATAACTTAAAAAATTCTTTGTTATTGTTCTTTGAAGATCATTAAAGAAGAACCCTAAGACAGCAAAAGTCACTAAACACAGCCCGTCAGACGATATACTGCAGAATCAACCAAATAAAACTTTTTAACATCTTTCTCCAAGAAACTAGATTTATCAACTATATTTCATCAAATAAAACTTATTGCTTGAGAAATTGATAATCCTCATAAGGGTAGACAAAGAGTGGGCATAATATAGCATCCCCTTAGTCTATCCTCTCTAAGTTATGCTCGCTGGTAGTGAATTGGATTATATACTTTCCAAATTGGTTGTCTGTTAGCTTTCATATATTGGAGAAATATACTAGAGGACAGCTAAAGCTGGAAAAACTTGTTTGATAATTTTTGAAATTTTTGTACTGATGGTATCAGACTCAAATGAAGCAAACTAATGAAAATTGAATGAAAAAATCGGCAGTTGCTCCATTAAGGCGTCAATTGTTTAGATTTATCATAGACCTATAGCAAAGAAAAGTGAATGCCAATTCTGTTATTTTCTTAAACACTGAAGTGAATACAAGAGCCTGTTAGGTTGAAAGATGCTAAAAACGCTGCTCATTAGATTTGGGTAGGCAGTTTTCGGGAGAAGTCAAAAGTTTCAACAAACGGTCAAGAAATCGAAAAATTGACTTTTCCGAGCGTCATAACTTTTTGTATAAAAAATTAGGCAAAACCACTCATGTAGAGGAGCTTCCCACAACCCGTCCTTTCGATTAAAACTAAAATCTCAGGTTTGTAATAGAGGGAGTTTTTGAGAAAATTTTTCAAAAAAAGGTAAAAAAAAATCGAAAAATTGTCTTTTTTGAGGGCCATAACTTTCCTAGGCTTTTTATAAAGAAATTAATTTTAACAAATCGATCACTTTTTGTCTTAACAAATATACAGTAAAATCATGCTCATCTATGCTTTATAGCTAAGATTCTCTTCCTGAGTTTTCGAGATAAATCTAACCAAAATTCAAGATAACTAAAAAAATTCTTTCTTTTGTTATTATTCTTTTGAGACCAGTAAGGAGGAATCCCTAAACAGGAATAGTCACTAAACAAAACCCGTCACTAAAAAAATTTTGGAGAATTTGTGGGTTTAGCGTTCGTATTCAATTAAACTTGATTCATTCCTAGAACCATAGAAAAAAAGAAATCCTAAGTTTTCGATACAATAATGGCACGTTTCATATGGCAAAAGAATTAACCTTCACTAGATTCTGACGTTTCAAAACTTTTAAGATTTCGAAGAAGATCGAATTGTCAAAAAAAAATAATTAATTTTAATTTTGAAAACTGCCAATCAAATGAGTGCATGGGGACATAACAGTTCAGTAGTATTTACGAGGAGCCTTCCTGATCAAAACGAAAACCCAATTTAATTGCAAATATACATTACAAAAAATAAATGGAGCCTTCTTGATCAAAACGAAAAACCAAACCATAGACAACTGATAGTTGGAAAAGATTAATACAGGCAAGGAAACTGAAAAAAAAACGAATTGATATTTTTTAAATCTTCAACTTTTAAAGTTCGAATAGAAAATTAGATGGCCTTAAAGCTCTTTGAATTTGTAGAACAAGTTATGACGGACACTTTTTTGTTAACTTTTATTTCACTGGGATATCTGATAATTAGTTTCCATTTACGAAATTAGAAGTCGATCACGTTTTTCGTGAACTTTACATTTTTGCTGTTCGATAGTGGAGTTTGACTTCCTTTTAACAAAAGAAATGCACTGAACTTAAAAAGAAATCACAAGTCAAACCAAAAATCAAAATTGAGCGTGAACAAATTTTAAGACTTTCTTTAAAAAAATCCAGCAAGACCTATATAAAAGTTTGAGTACGTTCATTACTCTTAATTAATTGCCAAATTGAAATGCACTCGAGACAACTAACCTCCTTCCGGTGGTCCAGAATACGGAGGCTGAAGCGATCTCATCGACATACCTGAAAAAATTCCTTGAGCGACATGCTGAAATAGCTTTTAAAAAGACAGGCAACATTAATTCAAAATATGTTATCAATTCTATAAACAGAAAATATAGTAAGAAAACTATAGAAGGTCGCTATTCCAAATGTTAAAAAGCGTTGACTATGGTTACGTTTCCTCGACTCAAAATGAAATTTAGAACAATAGGATAATTTAGCATATTAAAAAACAGGAAACTGGAGCTGGCGTCTCAACTAAGATTTAAAAAAAACGACTTCACGAAATTCAATTCTAGTATGAGCGAAATATCCAACTACAATTACACCGCCAATACTCAATTTATATCAAATGTAATGCGAGTTAGAATAGCAACTAAGACACTTTTATTCGATCAATCATAGTAGAATTGAGCCTCTTTCCAAGTGAAGTGATTGCAACTGTCACAGTGGGACTATTTCTGCTGCTGTTGCTGGTTGCCCCCTGGACCCCTGTTCCCTCCCCCTGGGAATCTGACTGGGGGAGTCCTGATCTTTCTGTCCTCCCGACTTCTGTTTCGCACAACCTAACACAAACAACACTTCTGTTCATTCTAACTTCAAGAGAACAACTCATGAACAGTCAATTACCAATTATAACGGAAAAAGGTCAATATTTTTCAATCTGCCGATTTGTTATATGGTGCAATATTCCTATATGGTCAATAATTAGAATAATCATAAATTGTTTCAAGGCAGTTACCTCCAGATAAACTTTTCTAGATTTTATCAATCAACTTCAATGTCAGTTTTCACACACTTAACTGACACTACCATGTAAGCTTCAACAAAAACCAAAGTCGAAATAGAAGAATAAAAGCACGAACGATTGAAAGAGCGTTTAGTTTAGCACAACAGTCGATTCCATAAAGCCACTCTTCTTAAGTTACCTGGGCGAAAAAAAATGCGCACCAAAGCCCAAGCCATTAGTCCTTCCCACTTTTTCAAGGGGCCGGAACAAAATAACTTGAATAAAATAGAAGAGTACTGTCGCAGGGAAAGCCAGAGGATATTCATAATGGCTATCACTTTGTCTTCTAACTCTAAATGAGGACAGCAGCAGGAGAAAAGAAGAAGGAGAGGAGTACCTTGGAGTGGATGGCACATGAGACGCAGTAGCAGAGTTTGAAGTACAGTTTGGGGAGAGCATACTGCTGGTAGACGGAGGCATCTGTGATGTCCCTGATAGAGGCAGCCTCCACTATGTTCCGGATCACAAACCTCTTGATCGCCTACACACACACGAACACAGATAAACACAAACAAAATCACACTCATTATTATAATTTAGATACCCGTTTTAGCTGTTAATCTGTTCTTACCGAAACTGAATATTTGCAGATCTACTGATCATCAATTAACTTTCTATTCATCTCAAAAATCTAACTTTTCAACACCCTGATGATGTCGTTTCAAAGCTCCAGCGAACTTTTTAAAAAATCTAATACGATAGAAGAACGTGAACGGGACTTAAAAACAAGTATTGATATTTGAACTTGAAAATAACAACGACCTTAAAAAGTTCAGTCATTTTGTTGCCAATCAAAGTTTTTCTATTTAAATCATCTGATAAGCATGAGTTCTTTATACCTTTTATACAGTCAGTTCGACTTCAGCAGAAAGAATGCAAGAAATAACAGCAGCATGGTTTTAGCATTGGCCGAGAATTAAATCCAAGACCGTATTCACACTACGCTCAGTTACAGAGTAAAATAGAAGGTACGCTAAATCGGATCAACTACCTACAAAAAATTAGACTGATTTCTAGTGGTAAATAGAAGCTAACAAACGAAACTCAATTGGAAAAGAATGTAAACAAAAACATCTGGACAGACTTTTAAACTACTGATACAATGTTATCGTTTATATAAAGGGCTTGTATAAACTTCAATGCATTGACAAGATGACCTACAATTTAACTACGTGCAACCTAACAATATTTTTTTAACACCAAGCAATTAAAATCCTTGATAGTTTCACTCTATGACAATTTATATGTTTTTATGAGTAAACGCTGAATTTAAATCCGCAGTTGCAAATTTCGAAAGCCTTACCCAAAAGATTTATCTAAATTTTGAACATGATTTACCAACAGAGGCTTCATTACTCAGTACAAGATCTCGTCCAAAGCATAGTTATGAATAACAATACTAATTGTATTCGATCGCATTTTCATCGCTCACAACCCAACATATGTGGAAGGCTATAGAAAGTCTCCAAAAAAGACAGGAGAACTAAAAAAAGAAATTCCTTTAATTCAAAAAAATCCTTCAAGTTACAAGTGGGGTATCAATTCAACATAACACCTGTCGCATGCTGAATGAGAACACTCGAAAACGTTTAGCAGCCTCTAAAAAATATACTGATTTGGGTATCTCAAGAGTTTTACCTAGCATAGAATCAAAACTCAAACAAATTTTATATGTGCAAACCAAATATTTCATAGCTTTGGGACATTCGATAGCACAAATTTCTAATTTTTAACAGACTAAAAATATCTAGCAAATCGCATTTTTGGCGTGATTTGATTTTGACAAACTATTTTGACTAAAAAACGATGTTAGATAACAAATTAGCAATGAGGATCTTCACTTCACATACGAACAGGGAACCAAATTATCACGGAACCAAAGTTAACCAATAAGAAAAATGATGATATATACCCTACATAATTTGGAGTCAATAGTAGGCAGGAGATATTCCATTTCAAAATAGGAAAAAGTTAATAACAGGTAAAAACTCTTGTTCCCAATTATACATTTGCTATCACAAGTGTTAAAATGGCGTTATAATATGTTTGGAGTTAAGAAGAACTTAACTCTTTCTTATCTAAATTGCAAAGAGTGAATATGAATGTTATGAAGTTGTTCATTGTTAAAGCTGGCGATAGACAACTGACTTGCTTACTGATAGTGACCTTGACTGCCAAAAAAATCAGGGAAAAATGCTTGCTCTCTTCTGAAAAAGAGGATACAACATGAGTGAGGGTGACTGACCTTGTCCTTGGGCACACATCTGGCACAGTTGGTGCATCTCACTGGGTTTGTCTTTCCTCTTCCGTGCTTGTTTCGGCCTCCATTTCGTCGCTTGAAAGTCATGCTGAGGAGATCAGAACTGAACTGAAAAAGCACACCACTAGTAGAGCAGGAACATATTTCCCGGGTATTAGAAGTAAATCATCAAACATGGTCAATTTGTAGGCTCAATTGACACAGGCCAAGTGGAGTATCGCACCACTTGCGATGCAATACATACATAGCATGGCAGGTAGTAGAAAAAGCAAAAAACCTACCATTTTTTTGTCTCAAATTAAATTCAATTAAATAAAAACTTTTCGAGAAAGAATATTGCAAGCTTTGAATAAGCTTTCTGGCAAACCTTACCGGGCAGCAACTACGCATACAAAACTTGAGTCGACGCCCGTTAAGCCCGGGAAAAAATTTTCTTTCGAAGTTAGATAACTATTTTTGTATTCCCACATTAATATTCGCCAACCACGAAACTTAAATTTGAAAATGGCTTGTAAAAACTGAATTAAAAAAAACGTTTCAAAAATGTGTCATTATCTGAAGTCTTTCTATACGCAGGCGAAGCTACACATTGGCGAAGCGATACAACTAGATATATCTAAATGAACATGCCCAGACAATAAACTGCAACAACAGTCTAATTTTTTTAAAGTTCAAAACTAAAAACAAATTGAAGTCCATCTTCCCCTCAAAACACTCGCACAAAACTTTTTTCTCGCATCACACGGCGCTAAAAGAGGCTACTAAGCCGATATCAAATATGCGGAAAACCGAAAAAATGATGTTTTACAGAGGCGACGCTGCGTTTTGCAAACACTGGCGCGAAAACCACAAAAAAGCGGCTCTATCAAGTGAAATAAGAAAGTAGAAATAAGTCTCAAATTAGCAAAAACTCGACTACGTGCCGGATTCGATCTGCGACCTAATAATGTTGACTATCACTCACTAGCCACGGACTCTTAAAGTGCCCTATAACTTTCCAACAAAAAGGCAGCGACATATGCTAATAAACTGCCAAGTCGATGCAGCAAAGTGGCAGTAAATTCAAAAATTCACAATTTTTCATGATTGAGCTGGAAAGCATAAAGCCCCATTATGTATAGATTATGCATTTCACAAAATTAGTGAGAGACATTGAGTAGGAAAAATTCTAAAATCGAGCGCTTTTTATCATTGTAATGTTGTTTCAAACAATTTTTTACGGTTCATTTGATGAACTCAAAATGCATCAGCTGTGTTATTTTTTTACTAATCAAATGTCAAAGACATATACCATTATACTGCTCCAGCAGCCAACCGATTCAATATGCCACCAAAAAAAGCACTGTTATTTGCGAGTTAGCTTAGAAAAAGGTTCGCACTAATCGCTAGTGTGAGCCAACCGAGTGGGTAAAATTAAAGCAAATTTTGAATAAGCAAGATATTTTAAACAAAAGAATGCTCAAAATACGTTTGTTGCATCAGAAACATCCAGAATAGAAGACCCAGTAGATGAAAACTACAACTTCTTTGATAAAATTTGAGAACACTGGAGTGTTAGGTAAAGTTTTTACTCCGCTGGGAAATCTTAACATTTAAATCCTCTTCCCAAACTAGAATTCGACTAGAAATCCAGGATCAAGAAGATGAGTCCTCTGTACAAAATTTAACACCGGAAATAAGTCTTGTACCCGATTGCAAAACCTTTGCTCATCGCAAGGGTAAAAAATTCTCAATTATAACAAGAACTGAGACTTTAAGTTGCTAAACACTAAGCCCGAACATGACGATAAAAACTCGATGAAGATAAACTGGTCAGAAGCTACTCAGCCTAAAAAGTGATACCCATATCAATTTTCTTCTTCAAACAGAACATCTTAGCGCGTATAAAAACCGAAAATATATTTAAAATTTTAAAAAAACGCTACATGAAACTGAAATGAATAAGCACGAAAATTTGACACGACGATAAGACTACAACCAGTTTATCAGGAAACAGCCAAAACAATATATTTAAAATTTAAAAAAAAAGCCAAATGAAACTGAAATGATTAAGTACGAAAATTTGACACGACTATAAGACTACAACCAGTTTATCAGGAAACAGCCAAAACAATATATTTAAAATTTAAAAAAAAACGCCAAATGAAACTGAAATGATTAAGTACGAAAATTTGACACGACTATAAGACTACAACCAGTTTATCAGGAAACAGCAAAAACACAAAAACTGACATATTGAAACGATTAAGTCTTATACTATGAAGAAAAAATCTTGATAAATGTTTTTCAGATTTGAGATCACTCACGGCTTCCTAAATAGTATCAGGAAAATAAAAACAAGCAAGAAATGAAACCAATATAAAACTGTTCAAAAAATAACTCACCGAATAACTTTATAAAAAATGTGCATTAATTGATAATTTCAAGTGCCATTATTAGTTGACCAACATTATTTGATAACTAGAGCTGGCCACTTATAAAAACTAAGTAAAACTTTCAAAAACAGTGAACAGGGTTTTTTTTCTAGCTTTTTCAATGAGCTTAATTTGAATAAACTGGAAAGCATAAAAGCCCCATTATGTATAAATTATGCATTTAACAAAACTTGTGAGAAACATTGAGTAGGAAAAATTCTCAAATCGAGCGCTTTTTATCATTGTTGTGCTGTTTCAAACAAATAATTTTCTTTCGGTTCATTTGATGAACTTAAAATGCATCAACTGTGTTATTTGTTTACTAATCAAATGTCAAAGACATATACCATTATACTGCTCCAGCAGCCAACCGATTCAATATGCCACCAAAAAAAAAACACTTTTATTTGCGAGTTAGGTTCGAAAAAGGTTCGCACTAATCGCTAGTGTGAACAAACCGGGTGGGTAAAATTAAAGCAAAACTTGAATAAACCAGATATTTTAAATAAGAAGATGCTCAAAATACGTTTGTTGCATTAGAAACATCCAGAATAGAAGACCCAGTAGATGAAAACTACAACTTCTTTGATAAAATTTGAGAACACTGGAGTGTTAGGTAAAGTTTTTATTCCGCTGGGAAATCTTAACATTTAAATCATCTTCCCAAACTAGAATTCGACTAGAAATCCAGAATCAAGAAGATGAGTCTTCTGTACAAAATTTAACACGGGAAATAAGTCTTGTACCCGATTGCGAAACCATTGCTCATCGCAAGGGTAAAAATTCTCAAATATAACAAGAACTGAGACTTTAAGTTGCAAGAAACTAAGCCCGAACATGAAGATAAAAACTCGATGAAGATAAACTGGTCAGAAGCTACTCAGCCTAAAAACTGATACCCATATCAATTTTCTTCTTCAAACAGAACATCTTAGCCTGTAAAAAAACCAAAAAAATAGTTAAAATTAAAAAAAAAACGCTACATGAAACTGGAATGAATAAGTACGAAAATTTGACACGACGATAAGACTACAACCAGTTTATCAGGAAACAGCATTATAACACAAAAACTGACATTTTGAAACGAATTAGTCTTAAACTATGAAGAAAAAATCTTGAAAAATGTTTTTCAGATTTGATATCACTCACGGCTTCCTAATAAGTATCAGGAAAACAAAAACAAGCAAGCAATTAAACCAATATAAAACTGTTTAGAAAATAACTAACCGAATAATTTCATAAAAAAATGTGCATTAACTCATAATTTCAAGTGCCATTATTATTTGACCAACATTCTTTGATAACTAGAGCAGGCCACTTATAAAAATTAAGTAAAACTTTCAAAAACAGTGAACAGGGTTTTTTTCTAGCTTTTTCAATGAGCTTGATTTGAATCCTTCAAATTGAGTTGTTAGAGCTATTTCATATAATAAGGCCAAAAATTAATACACAGCCTGTTGGAAAACAGTCAATTAACGCAAGATAACAAAAAAAACTGACTTGTTTTTGGCAGGCTTAAAATTTATCGAAACTCGAAGAAAAAGAGCAAGGCTTTAAAGCTCTTTGGATTTTGAGAACAATTAATGATTGGCATTTTTTGATAAAATCATCTCAATTCGAGAAAACTGGAGTGTTAGGTAAAGTTTTTATTCCGCTGGGAAATCGGTCATGTTTTTTTCGCCCTTTCCTCGCTCGTAATTTGAGAGCAAATTTAGTCTACTTTTCAGCAAATGAGCTAGAGTTGAACTCAAAAAGTGCCTATATACCTAATGGTATTCATAAATGCATTAATATGTATGATTGAACTTTCTGCAGTTTAAGCATTTTAGGTTTTTTCCTGATAAATAAAACGAAAAAAAAACGACCTAAATATGAATCAACTACTTTCGAGTTCTTTTTTTTTTAAAAAAAAAGAAGGTATATAAGCCGGCAGAACTAAAGCTTACACCCAATAAGAAGAAAATTACCCGAAGATTTCTAGCAGAGCCAAGATAAAATTCACATAAGATCTTGCATATACTACCTAGCAGGCCAGCACAAACCCTATACAGTTGGTACATGCGTAAATTAACCATTTCTTATTTGAAACCTTTCTGTGATCAAAGTTTTTTACGGGAAACACAGGTCTAGAACCCGGTCGCAACACTCTTGTTTATCGCGAGGGTAAAAATTTGGGTTTTTCTTTTACCTTAAGCTTCTAAATATTTTTGAAAAAAAAAATTGGTTGTAAATAACGCACCTCTTAAATACAAAATCTATGATTTTTATGTTGGGTTGGTTTTCGGGAAAATCTGATATAATTAAACGAGAAAGGGTTGTCGTTTCAAGACTTTTTAAACTAAAACGAGACAGATTAGTATTACACGAGCATTCTTTGAAAGTATAAAACGAAATATTTCACAAAACAGACCGAAGGCAACCAAAAAATCACATCGAGATATAAATCAGTTTACCTTCAAAAATGATATGATTCCTTCTATAGACTGATAAAAAATCTTTGACTCAAACTATTTTCATTACCAAGTTTTTCATTTCATTGATGGGTTTCAATTCAATTATAAGGAATCATTCAAGCAAATAGGGTTAAAATAGAAAAGACAAGTTTACTAAATGGATCTATGCCGTGATATCACTGAGTCTGTTGCAACAAATGATCAAAAATCAAAGTATCCGTAGTGATTAAAAAAGGGTAAATTATAAAGGGTTTCTTTATAATTTACTCTTTTTTTATCCGTACTGGTTTATACTACTTTATATACTAAAATTTATTTTGATGGAAATATTTCAATTATGATATTAAGTTGATTTATATCGATGAAAATCAAAGCAACCTAAATTGAGCATTTAATAATGTGCATGAATATTGGATATAAGATGATTCAATATAACTCTCAATAATTTCATCAACTGGTAATTAGAAATTGATAGAAAATTAGGGATTAGCATTCATATTTAAAATACGATCTAACTATTTCACACACAAAATGAATTTCGCAATCAAATACATTGTAACTTAACTTTTTAAACTGTCGATGAAGCAATTAATGACCAATAATTTACTTCAGTAAAAATGACCGACGATTCTTTTCTCAGCACATTTAATGAGCTTCAGTAGAAACGATATGCACATAGTCTGTTAAACTACCCATTTAATATATTCTTGGCTCTGTCATCCTGTTTTAGAAGATCATTCAAGGTCTTCGAACTTCTAGATGAAAATTTTAAATTTAATCCAATAAAAAAATCGAAAACCTTTAAACCTATTAGCGTTAGAGATAGATGTAGAAACTCAGTTCTGTGCAAGACTGATTTTAAAATGATAGAACGCTCCTTTTAAGACTTTCTGTTCGATGCAGTTAAGCAGTCGAATAGTCATTTTGTCCTCGAATTCCGCAGCATAGACAGCAGGCAAACAGGATTCCCACAAACTCAAATACTCCCACGCAGAACAGCACCGCCATCCCCGCAATGATTCGCTCTTTGAGGAAATCCATGAATGCTCGGGAACATCCTTCGTCGTAGTATTGAACCGTAATAAAAGTGTCCATGTTGCTGTTGCTGCATGAAGCCGGTGGAGCAGTCATGTAGTCATTTGGACCATCCGCGCCGCAGCATTTCAGTCGCTGCTGAATTGTGTCCACAGCGGTTTTGTGAGTTTGGTAGTTATCGACTAGATATTTCATGTCATCTTCAACCCATGACTGGATGACATTTTGGTCTTCGTCGATGTACTCAATCTGCCAGTATCCCAATCCAGCTGCTCCGATTTGCAGAATTGTCAGCAGCAGAAGCAGAAACGAGAAGAAGCAAAGAATGCATGAGCTCTCGTATATAGTTCCACAGCATCCGATGAACCCGACAAACATGATCAAGCCTCCGATCAGCATCAGAGCGTAGCAGAAATAGAAGTAGAACTGACTCTGGATTGCGTTATTGATTTCAGGATAGTGACGATAATTCGCCTTTTCATCTGATTTGTAGTAGTCGTCGAGTGCTTCGAAGATCGTTCGCGAATCCAGATTGAACCTCAGATATAGAGCTACTCCCAGCACGGCGCAGCCGCATAGCAGGAACAGGAACGAGAAGACGTACATCAGATAGTAACAGCAATTTGTCATATTTCCCTTCGCCATTTTGAAGTCTAGAAACTACACTTTACTAACAATGACTATATATATTATAAGACAGTCGCATCTTTATAACCGAAAGAAGAACATCGACAGCTGATCCTATATAATTAATTTTATTTTACCAAAACCAGGCGATACAAAATACTTGGGATAGAGAATAAAACTTTGCATAACAATGTAACATTCGTCTACTGTAGTCACACATGAGGCTTACGAAGAATAGGCCCTATAACCATTGGATCAAGAGTCAGGGACACTATCTCTTGTTTTTTTCTACCTCAAATCAGTCGGAGCCAATTCGGTTCGCTTGTGACATGAGACTACGACCCGTTACAGCTTAAAGTCTACTACCAAAATATCCCCCCACCCTAGAAATAATAACGTCCCCATACTTAGGTCTCTAGATACCCAAAATACACGAACGCCGTTAAAAACCGGGTCGGAACAATCCGTTGAGTTACTTTTTATTAGACAGTGGAACTTTGATCCATTTCAGATGGATCAACCTAAAACTCGCCTTACCTCAACATAACAATCATAAAACACACTCTAGAAATTTAAATTAGGGACTCACATGCTGATGCGCTCAAGCACAGGGGGTAATTTGTGCCATTCTACCAGATGACACAGCACAACCTTCCGGCGACGTAAAAACGAACGACTAAAGGCCTTATGAACGAAAAAGTGTTGCGAAGGAGGGTCAGAATGTTCTAGAATTTTTATTTTTAAAATTTCGATTGAAGAATGAACATTTCTGAGAAATAGAAAAAAGACGGCCATTTTGACTAAAAAAGACGGGAAATGAGAACCACGCCAAATATTGTGAAGAACAGTCGTACAAGAGACGGAAAATTACGAAGCCTCTTATCGTGGCAACAACACACGATAAGAACCTTAGCGACGGATATTTGTGGAGAAGGAGGCTTCAGTGGGGGAAGAAATATACCACGGAACCCTCCCGGGACACGAAATATAGGAGATAAGAGCGTTATCTCAAGAATATAACGGGAGCGGAGGCTTGGTCCCCCAGAGACTGTCTATGTGAAAGGACTGTGTAAACTGACTGTATAGCTGCTGTAATGTCATAGATCTTAATTAAAACCGTTATTGTTTAATATTTCAGAGTATGAGTAGCTAGAAAAAGGAAAGGGTCAATCCATCTCCAATGGATTTACTATAAAACTGTCACACAAAAACATATAAAAATAGGTTGTTCGAGCCGTGTTTTTAATGACAATCACGTAGTCTGAGGATCCGAGACTCAGCTATGTCGTTGTGTTCGCATGTAAACGAAAGCTGATCAAAAGTCGTTTGACTGATGGCCTAAAAATGGTAACTTTTTACTTTGCCTTAGACAGACCAGAAAATCAACTGGCAAGGTCGAGACGGTGAAAAACGAGTAGGATTAAGGTAACTGACGCCTGCCAGTCGTCAATAGGTACTTTTTCTACGCTCCGTCGCTGTGTGATATTTGGGCGAATGTTACATAGACGTTTTTATGGCGCTCCTGGGTGGGCCTGTTAAAGGCATGAAACCATCATGATCAGCAAGCGTTTCAGCGACGTACCCTCCGCTCCGGGCGTATGCCCGAGTTAGAGGCCTTAATGACCGTTGTTGTACTAGGGGGAAGGTGCGTACCCTCCGTCTAGTACAATTTAGCTTTTTAACTTAGTTAACACCGAAAATTCCGGGGGCCGGAGGGTTAGGTGGGAAATCTAGAGCCCGCTTGTCCTGAGGTCCCAGGACCAAAAACAATTAAAGAGAAAGCGTAAAACCAAACAAAAATAGTGTATAACCAAGAAAAAGCCAAAAATAAATTTATTTAAAAACAAAAAAGTACAAAAAACAGTAAAAAAAAAAATCCAAAAAAGACCAAAAACAGTAAAAAACATAAAGTGACAGTTTATATGTTATTTCGGACGAGATGTGAATGTGATCTGACCTTCCTATTTGTTGTTGTTTCAGATTGATTTATATCGTTTCTGATAGAAAGATTGTGTGTTTTGGTGAAGGGTTGGATACCCTCCCTCGAGTGTAATTTGAGTGTTTAAGCACGTTAATGGTGATTTTGCCGGTGGCCGGAGGGTAGAGTGGCAAGCTGATCAACGTGTTCCACACTCAACAGGGACATCAAGGACAACATCCGCAACGACTGTTGGGTATCGTTGAAGCAATTTTAGTATCGTTCGGGTACTATTTCATTAAAAATTAAATGGTGGGGGGCACGATTGGCGCGGTCCGATTGTACACTCCATCGATTACAAATTTCCGAGTTAAGGGTCTTAATTCGGGTTTTTTGGTGCAAAGGAGGGTATAGTACTATTCATTAACGACTATTAATAGGTTATTATCCTTATTATATATTACTTATCTCCTAAATTAGACCCAAAAAACACCCAATTTTGTCGAAAATCATCGATTTTCGATCAAACTGTAGACCCCCAAATTTTCGGATATCCGAGCTTTTCCGATAGGCAAAAAGCTTTTATATAGAGAGTAGCTACGTAGTTCGATCCCCTTCACTAAAGAAACCGCGTGAGCAAAGACTCAGTAGAAGTTAGAAAAACGGAAATTTTTCGATCAAAAATTTTGATAATTTTCTGTATTTTGTCAATCTGTTTTGGGGATTGAGTTTTTGAGTTTTTAGAGTTAGAGCAATGAAATTTTTTGCGTTAGGAGCGTGCTAGCATAACGTGCTCGGTTACTAGAGAAATTTTTGGGTAACCCTCCCAGTAGCTCCGTGGATAGAGCTAACGACTTAAGGTTTGGAAAAGGAAGGAATCGGAGGGTCCAAATTTGATAGTTTTTGGCCAAATTTTTGTTTCTAAACCAATTTTGGTCCGGTTTTTTGCATTATTCCAGTGCCGTACAGGGCTACTACGCTCATTTCGAGTATTTTTAGGCACTTTTGACCGGAATTGCGGAAAAAGTCTTTCAGAACCTATATAGGTGGTGAAAAAAGGCCATTTTGACGAACGCGTTTTTGGCGATTTCTCAGAGACTCATTATCCGATTGGGATAATTTTGTTACCATAAGTCGACGTTTTTGACCACTTTTCCGAATCGCAACCGTTTTTGGGTTGATTATTTCGGAAAAGAAAAATTTTTCAGAATTTGTTGGTTCGGAGGGTCCAAATCAAGGGCAACCCTCAGAGCGGCAGAAAATTTTATCAAAACATCTTTTTATTCATCTGGGAAGGTTGACCGTGTCAGCCAACCTAGTTTTAAGCCAGGTAGACCGCTCTCAGAGGCTTTACTGCGGTGATATAACCCTTTTTCTTGATTTTGGGGGAACCCTCCGAAGTGACCCTCCGGAGTCAGCTAAACCCTTTAGCAACCCTCCTTAGTGGAAAATTTCCACGAGATCACCCTAAGAAGTTAAAACAGCTCCCCTAAGAGCTCCTAGTTTGTTTTGACGCTTTTTGAAGCTAGTGGGAGAACCTTCTAAGCGAGATCAAAAAATTTGAAAATTTTGGAGGTACCCTCCGAAGTAACCCTCCGGAGCATATTAAGCATCTTATTGACCCTCCTTAGTAAATTTAGGGGGACCCTCCGAAGTAACTTGGGTGATTAAGGTACCCTCCGAAGTAACTTGGGTGATTAAGGTACCCTCCGAGGTAACCCTCCGGAGTGTCTTAAACCTTCTAACGATCTTCCTTGTTAGAGACTTGAGTAAACCTTCTGTGGCAATTTGGGAAACGGAAAATATCCATTTAATTAGGATCATATTAGGATATTAGGCGTGCTTATCAGGATCATAAGGACCCATTTTGACCCGGAAATTCGTGATCAACTTTGGATTCTACATTGGGTGTATCAGAAGTAACCGAACAAAGAAATTTTTTTTTATTGTGATTTTGGTTGTGTGGTTGCCTTGAGCTACCTAATAGAAAAGTTCGGGCAATCCGGGAACAAGTAAAGGAAGACCTCGGTGGGTGTATTATGCAAATACACACCCACTTGAGAAGAAAAATTGTTCCCTACTCTCGTGCACTTGGAGCAGTCCGAGTGTGGGAGAGCTTTTTCATAGACTTGACGAATTTTCGATCAGAGGCTGCCTTGAGCTACTTAGTAGGACAGCTCGGGCAATCGCAGGACACCTAAAAGAAGACCTCGGTGGGTGTATTAGGCAAATACACACCCACTTGAGAAGAAAAATTGTTCCCTACTCTCGTGCACTTGGAGCAGTCCGAGTGTGGGAGAGCTTTTTCATAGACTTGACGAATTTTCGATCAGAGGTTGCCTTGAGCTACTTAGTAGGACAGCTCGGGCAATCGCAGGACACCTAAAAGAAGACCTCGGTGGGTGTATTAGGCAAATACACACCCACTTGAGAAGACTGTGTCCTGGGCTTTGTTCTTTCGGATCAGTCCGATTGGGGGAAGTCTTTTTCTTTAAGACTAAGTTTTATTGACCTGTTTCTGAGTCATCACTGCTTTTAGCAAAGATTGTCCAATTTTAACAAAGCAGTGACTTGATAAATTGTGTGGCGATAAATTGATACTGACAAGAGGTCGCTGTCACCTGTAGGATATTCTTATCTGATTATCTATTGTGTCTGGTGTGTTGATTATATCTTGTGAAAATTCTGTGATACTGTTATACTATACAACAGGGTTGAGTTAGCATTATATCAATACTGGGTAGACCCTGTGTGTAACTTTAGCTGAGTCACTAGTTTAGTCGTGAGAGATCTAAGAGACATTTTGATACTGACAGAATCGAGTAGGCAGCGTTAAGTGATTTAACTAGATCTTGTTTGTGGTACGTTTGCATTGCCATCAAATTACGAATATTTTCATTTTGTTAAAAACTATGCAGCGCAGGGACTCGCTAGGATCGACTACCAAAATTCCCAGGCTAAGAAAGGGAAGCACGCGGAAATTTAAAACTAGGCGTAGCCAAACCTCGTTTAGCAGCGCTTCCGACGCGTTTGCTGAAGACGAATCGACTAAAGGTCAACCTGATCTTTCAGTGAGCGAAATGAAACTAAGGAGCGAGAAAAACCTCGATGG